ACTTGTGTATAAGGGAGGATAGATAGGTGGGAGCAGCATTATGTAGAGATTTGAAAGCAAAAACCAGAATTTTAAATTGAGCTCTATATTTTATAGGAAGCCAATGTAGGGACTGACAGAAGGGTGAGGAATGGGAGGTGCAGGTGGACAGGAAGATGAGCCTCGCCACCGCATTCACTATGGACTGTAACGGTGCAAGTTGGGAGCATGTAAGACCACTGAGAAGCGGATTACAGTAGTCAAAGCGAGAAAGGACAGTGGAATGGACCAACACCTTAGTCGCATCTGGCGTTAAGAAGGGGCGGATGTGCGCAATGTTTTTGAGATGGAAATGACAGGATTTGGTGATAGACTGAACATGAGGCTTGAAGGAGAGGTCGGAGTCAAAGAGAACACCTAGGCAGCGAGCCTGCGTGGTGGAGCTAATGGTAGCACCATTGACTTGGAGGGAGACAGACACAGGAGTAACAACACTTGAGGGAGGAAAGACCGGAATTTCAGTTTTGGTCAAGTTTAGCTTAAGGAAGTGGGCAGCCATCCAGTTAGAAACAGCAGAGAGGCAGTCAGAGACACTAGTCAAGAGAGACAGGGAGAGATCAGGAGAGGACAGGTAGATTTTGAATAAATATAGATTTTTATATTTGTAGATATATGTATGTAGATATCAGGAGAGGACAGGTAGATTTTGAATAAAGATAGATTTTTATATTTGTAGATATATATATATATATGTAGATTGTAATAGATCACCTGACTGGGTACCTCCGTTGAAGGATGCTCCTAGCGCTTCCTGAGGACTCCAAGCACTGCAGCAGACACCACAACCACCAAACCGGAGAAGCATACAAATGCTGTAAGCAGCTGAACAGGAAAAGCATACAATAAGCTTACACTCCTGGCAATCAGCATACAATCCAATTCCCCCAATAACGAGACGACACTTCGTTTTGAGGTCAAGCAGAACTGACTGTACTGGCACATACAGCCTCTTTTATTCCCAATCCACAAACTTAGTACTGCCCACAGGGTTTTGAAAACAACCAATAACACCGTACAATACACACAGACACTCCCACACAAAATCCTCCCCTCTGCCTGTGATATGATTACTGAACACAATGGTTAATCTAATTATCACAGGCAGAGAAATACAGTATTATAAAACATATTACAGGGACCCCAAAACATGCAATAGCCCCATAAAATATCCTCGGAACCGGGGGATCTGGGTGAACCACATATCCAAAATTCACCCAGATCCGTTCAGTAGTTTGGAAGATGCAGTTTAATGCAGATTCCGCAGAACATATACAGGCTATATGAAAAATAATTACTGTATAATGTGTCCCCTGTTCTATAGTTTAAAACTACTGAACGATGTCTTCGTGCACCAAATACTGGCGAGATGGCACCGTGTAGAAAAGTCCAAACAGTGTCTGTGAGTTAAAATGGCCGCCATCCATTGTTCTCACCATGTGCCTCTGATACAGGAAATGGTGGCCACCCAGTAACTCCACAGTATGTCCCCAGATGGTTCTTAAAGGGCCAGCAGCAGCATAATAAAATACAATATGCCCAAATACTGTATTTAAAGGGCCAAATCTCCTAAGGCCATAGTCAGCAAGCAGGAGGCGGGCAAACAGGCTTCTCCAATGCCCAGTGGCGATGTTGGTTTTGCCACATAGATATATTGAATAAATATAGATTTTACTGCTCCTCCTTTTCTCCTTTTTGGCAATTTCTTTTTTTTTTTTACTTATTTGTGAACCACATGGCTTCAAAATGGGTGTTGCAAAATACATTAATCAGCCACAAAATGAAAACCACTTGACTAGTATTGAGTAGGTCCCCCTAGTGCTGATAAAACAGCTCTGATGCACTGACATTGACTACACAAGACCTCTTGAACATGTCTTGCGGTATCTGGTGCCAAGACAATTTGCAGCAGATCTCTTAAGCCCTGCATTTTGCGAGGTAGAGCCTACATGGATCAGATTTGTTGATCCAGCACAGCCCACACATGCTCAAACGGATTGAGATCTGGGGAGTTTGGAGGCCAAGACAACACCTTGAATTCTTGTCATGTTCCTCAAACCATTCCTGAACAATGTTTGCAGTGTGACAGGGTGCATTATCCTTCTTAAAAAGGCCACTGCCATAAGGGAACACAATTGCCATGAAGGGTGTATATGATCTGAAACAATTTCTAGGTAGGTGGTACGTGTCAAAATAACATCCACATGAATGCCATAACCCAAGTTCTTCTAGCAGAACATTGCTTGGAGCATAACAATGCCTCTGCCAGCCTGCCTTTTTTCCCATAGTGCATTCTGCAGCAATCTCTTCCTCAGGTAAATGAAACACACACACCCAGGCATCTACTTGATCTAAAATAAAACTTACTTTATCAGACCATGGAACCTTCTTTCAGTGCTCTATGGTCCTGTTCTGATGCTTTCGTCCCCATTGGGGCCATTATCGGTGGTGGACAGGAGTCATCATGACCACCCTGAATGGTCTGTGACTATGCAGTCCTATACGCAGCACATTGCGATGCACTGTATGCTCTGACACCTTTCTATCATGGTTAGCATTACGTTTCAAGCAATTTGAGCTACAGTAACTCTTCTGTATGATTGGATCAGACAGGCTAGATTTTGTACCACATGTGCACCAATGAGTCTTGGGTGTCCATAACAGTGATGCCAATTCACCAGTTGTCCTTCCTTGCACCACTTCTGATAAGTACTCAACACTGCATACTGGGAACACCCCATAAGACTTGCTATTTTGGAGATGCTCCGACCCTGTCAACTAGCCATCATGATTTGGCCCTTGTCAAAATCAGTCAGATCTTTTTGCTTGCCCATTCTTCCTGTTTACAAGTCATGAAATTCAACAACTAACTCTTTACTTGATTCCTAATATTTCCCACCCCTTAACAGGTGCCACCATAACAATATAATCAATCCTTCACCTGTCAGTGGTGTTAATGTTGTAGCTGATCATATATTTACATTTTGCAGTACACTGATTTTCATGAAATTTGGATCATCCAAATCGTTTTTCCTGAAACAGTTGCATTATAAAATTCATCTAAAATGAAGTGCCAAATGGCCACTCCATAATCGACTGAAACAACATTTTGTTTGGATTAACCTATTTGGACAAACCTAATTTTTGCCATGCTTAAGTCTAGGGCATTGGGCCTTCCCAGGGGGCAATTTTACTAGCATGCAGGGGTTGTGTCCTGCAGCCATACACCACAATCATGCTGATTAAAATCATCAGGAGGTGCAGTACTGCAGCAATGAGGTAGTGAGATAGCAGACAGAATTTGTGCAGGTCCTTTAGTAGTTCAGCATTGTATGGGTACGTGCTTGGGGTGAAGGCCACAATCTTCTTGGCCAAAATCGGGCTAATCTGAATTTGACTGAATCTTAATGCAGAAGTCTAGTGAAAAGTAAGAGCACTGGAGTAACACAAGAAGAGCAACACAAGAGTAACACAAAAGGAGCTATGATACAATTAGGAAGACAAAGGGCTGCAGAATAGGGCACCTAAAACACACAGTTTAGGGTGAAGCAGGCCAGCAGTCCCAGGCACAATGAGAAAACCTTCAGATCAAAATGCTTGTAATCAGCAATCACTGTCATTATATTATAGAGCAGTGGAAATACATTGTCAAGGGTCATGAATCAAGTCACCATCTGGCAGTCCAAAGGCTTAGCAGATACCAGAACGAAGCTACCTGTGTAATAGCATACTGGCAATTGGAACAGAGTTATAATAGTATGAGGTTATTTTAATGGTTCAGCTAAGGCCTATTATCTCAGCACTGGATATATTAACCCTATAGTATAAAATGGACTTTCTGTATAACTATGTGGTTCCAACATTGTGGCACCACTTTGTGATTAATCTTCAATTATGACAATGTGTAAATGAGGTCCGTATTGTAATGCTTTGACCAGTGTTAGAGAATTTAACTCTGATTCTTCAGATCCATCAAACATCTTTGGGATAAAGCAGAATGCTGAACAAGAGGCCTTATATCCAAACATCACTATGTGACATTAGACTCTTTAACTGAAGCACAGAACCTCTGATGTAGCATATAGCAGAACACTATCACTAGTATTAGAACCCACAATGTTAGAATGCGGTATACAAGAAGTAGTCATATCCACATACATTTAGCAAGTTTGTATACATTTTAATCTTTATAAAATGTGTCCATTACTTTGCCAATATTTGATTATTTTTTAGTTTTATCTGTTTTTTTGCATAACAGCAAAACGAGGTGAAAATAATTGGTGAAAAGGGTATGCATACATGTATTTCTGAGCAGTGGAATTTATTGTGAATTCCATAGACTTGCAGTTTTCTTTTCGATATCTGGTACAATTACATTTTCCCACAATATATTTTTGGATTTCTTCCCTATCTACTTCTACACTATTCGTTGCTAGACCTCATAAATACTATAATACTATACAACTGTCCCATAAAGCAATTACAATTATTTATTTATTGAGAAGTAATCACATTATTTTACAACTGTAAAACATTCAATGTAGTGTTACAAATCAAATCAATTCATTAATTGAAATACTAACAGGTAATGCAACACTCATATATAACCTATGATGCTAGTTTATAACAGATTATAACTAGAGTTTGTACTTTTTACACGTCTGCCAATCACAGAGCAATTGGTTAGGGGCTCATGCACGGTGAATTAGTGCTGATGCTTATGTGAACAGAGGGTGGCAGTATAACCCTGCCAGGTATTGTGGTTTAGATTGACTTCTGTTGATAACAAGGATGCCTTCAAAACAGGTTGCAGTGTCAGGGAAGGTTGTCAACATGTATACACAAACACACAGCAATAGAACCAAGTGTAAATATAAACTCTCCAGGGTTAACTGTTTGTAGGTGCAGTCCTCAGGAATTAATAGAAATAACCTTATTAAAAAGGAGATTTCATGAAACACTTTGTAAATATTTGTAGATACACTCTCACATTCTAGGGGCTCTGGAACACAACTCCCATCAGGAAGAGATGACTGGCCATCATGCTATATTTAGCTCCCAAGAACATGTCTGATTTAGGTTTCTTCTTGTTTGAAATGGTATAAACCACACAGATAGGTTGTTGTGGTTAACATACAAACAGAAATGTATCAATAAAAAATAAATGCATATAATAGTATAATAAAGTAATGCACAGCCAGCTGTATTTCGTAAAAGCCTGCAATACAACCTGCTTTTCTGAAGCTAGCACTATGCTATTGTGTTAAGATTCAGCCTCAGCAGCTTCAGTGCATCCATTGCTTTGTGCTTTTTTAATCTAAAGTTAATTAAGTAGCTTACATTAAGGGAAGTGAAGTAGAACCAGCATAGCGTCTAAATGCATTATGCAGAAAGTGAGCCTAAAGGTTTTTATGTTATATACTTCTACCAAACACTGCACACTGGGAAACAATCTCACTTTACTATTAAACCCAACAGGGTATATATAAGTGTGTGTATACATGTTTGGGTATGTATAAATGGCTGTGTTTATGGGTGTGTATATATATTTGTGTAAGTGTGTGTATAGATGAATTTGTCTGTTTGTGGTGTGTGTGTGTGTGTGTGTGTGTGCGTGTGTGCGTGTGTGCGTGTGTGCGTGTGTGTGTTTATGCACACACCAATAAGAGAATTAATGAGTAAAACGTTATTTATGTACCATATAACTATGTGTATCGTATTAGTATATATGTACAAACAAATTACATTCATACCTACTCTACCTACACCTGTTCACGTACACAGTATGCATGAATATATAGTACATATATGTATATAGTGAGCAATCAGTATGTATATATCGAATGTCAAAAGGTGATGTCAATGTCAGATGTCTTTCTATCTATCTATCTATCTATCTATCTATCTATCTATCTATCTATCTGTCTGTCTGTCTATCTGTCTATCTATCCATCTATCTATCTATCTATCTATCCATCTATCTGTCTGTCTATCTATCTCTATCTATCTATCTATCTATCTATCTATCTATCTATCTATCTATCTATCTATCTATCTATCTATCTATCTATCTGTCTGTCTGTCTATCTATCTATCTATCTATCTCTTTAATTATATCTATTCTACTATCTTTCTATCTAAATCTAATCTATATCACTCACACACACACACACACACACACACACACAACATGCACATATAAGTTACCAAATTCAGTTAAAATTGGATATGAAATACTAAGATTGGAACATACTTTAATATTTTTGTCTCATTGACATGTAATATAATGCACTACATGATATGCCATTCAATATATACATTAAAATGAACTGATCAAACCTTTTGCAAAATAGCACATATAGCCTAGTTAAATTTAGTATAATTACTGAATACAAACTCGCCTAGAAATATCAATTGTTTTCAATATTCGAAGCAGTTACAGAACGTTCTACATATACACGCCACAAATGTGTTAACTATGATTGAAATGAATGTACCATAGAAAGCCATTAGAATGCCATTTCAGCACCGTATTAATAAACTTCATCAAAGCACCTACTCCATCAGACATAACATATTTGAATATAAATAGGCCACGATTTAAACATGTTATGAAATGAACATTCTATTCTATTCTGCATCGGGTATAGTTAGCAATATAGTGTGACATGTTTCTTAAATTCTAACACATTGCTTCTTACAAACAATAATACAGACAAACACATGTGAATAAAATATTAGAGATAGTGAAGATATGATGACACTTTGAAGAAGGTAGAATATGAATGAGTTCTGATAGGACTTAAACGTAATTTACATTTTTTATCACCTTTTAAATTTTTTAAGCAAAATACCTGCAAATTGAGAATTGATACAGACATGGGAAAAAAATATCAAATTTCTTCTAATATCATTTTAAATATATAGGTGGTAATTTAAAAGAATGTATTAAGTATTTTCAGTTATATACGTACAGGAAGAATTGAATACTTGGCTCTCCCTCCAGCACTGCATTAGTTAATAGGTATATATATATTTAAAGCCATTGGTTTGTGTTTAAGCTATTTGTCATATTTCACATTAACTGATAACCTATATGCGTTAGACACCCACCCGGTGAGTAGTTGAAGCAGAATGGTTGTGATAGTCTATTTATTGTCACTGTCAATCAGAGCCCCATTTATAACTTTATGGGTGCAATCCGGTGGCCATGCTGATATACGACTTGTTACAATGTATGTTGGGGAAAGGTGCCCTTCTTGTTTAATAGATAGCCATCACTCAATGACATTCTATGGAATATATTGCGAATATGATAGATAGATACAGAGACCTGGGAAAATGGGAGAGAGGGTTTAAATAGATGTTGTCTTTGACGTTCTCAAAATAAAATATAATTTTATTAACAAGAAAAATAGCATGTCCTATATCCATATCCCTGTCACAGATAGATGGAATGATTACAACTGAATTTTTAGGACACAAGATAAAGGCATATTTCTAGGAAAAAGTAAAAACAAATATATATATGTTTTTTTTATGTGCTCTATAGTACAAGTATTGCCATGGGTTTTGTAGAATGTCATTTGCAAGCCTCTTTTAAGAATGGTGAACTTCAACTCCCATTACCCTCAGGTAGCCAAGGTAGGTTGAACTTCAACTCCCATTGCTCTCAGGCAGACCTGAGGATGCTATAGGTTGTGGTTCATAGCAACTGGACTGACAAAGCCATACAGCCTTGGTTAATAGAAAACAATTCTACAGTTATAAGTCACTGCATGCTGCTATTAATGTCTTCAATTAAAATTCACATCAAGCAAAGAGAGGACAGACTGCATGGAAAAAAATGAAAATTGCCCAGAACACATTCCAGTGATAGAGCCCTTTAATGGGATATATAAAAACGTACAATGCATGTAAAATTAAAAACTGCTCTATAATCTAATTCCAAAGGGAATAATACCCATTCGTTCTCCTGAAATTGCATTTATGAATCCTGTGAGATGAATAAGGTGAGACAAGAAGGTTTCTATTTAATGTGTGTCCACAATGAAGACTTGTGCAGCAGCCTTGCTCAGGGCTGATACATCTTGGTGCTAGAGATATGTTTGAACTGCATCACCCACGATCCTCAGCCAGCCAGGTGCAGCTCAGAAATATAGTTCACCAGCATCAAGTTATCGGTTGGCTGAGCACCATGAGATGTGACAAACCTGTGAAGAGTCAAGGTTAGCAGCAATGACATAGTCCAAAATATGTAGAGAAAATATTTGATTTCTTCAGTTTGGATTGATACAATGTTTCTCAGTGTTCACAATAATATACCTGATATAATGACCAGATAATGAGTGATTGCCATATACAAAGATTTCCTGGAATATGGAAAATCCAGATTTCATTGACCCATGGTTAGCAAGTCTTCTCCAGATACAAGCAGATCTGTCTTTGACAGTAGGATTGTTGGATTTGCCAGCCAGATTTATGTTGTTATAGGTAGAGCTGCAGCCCCAAAGTGCCCCTCTTAAAGAAGCAATCATCCATTATCTCCACAACACTGACACAAGCCTACACAGCTCCTTCAATCACCTTGATATTAAAAACAAGCAGGTAGAATCCGAGAACAAAACATGCTTCTCTTTCCCAAGCAGTACTTTTCTCCGTCCACAAAAAAAGTACTTCCCTATGAAAATTAATATGGCATAGAATCCACTTTTCCTATCGAATGCATCCATAAGTGCTAGTGACACTTTAAGGCAATACTTTAAAACGGTACCTCTAGTGGTAGGGTCAGGAAATACAGTCAGAATTACACTGTGTCCTGTTCCCATGCAATTTAGAAGAAACATAGGTGAGTTAGTTCTTTTAAATACTGTAAATATATATACTATCAGGTGATGGTCTGACCTGCCCTGATTTAATTTGACCTAGGGAATGGTCACAGCCTATTATGTAAATATGGATTTGTAGAAAGGGTTGACGGGATACTGAAGATCTTGCAGCTAGAGCAGAATAAAGCCCTGGAGCATCATCTGGAGTATATGTGTAGTTGAAGATAAATGACCAAAAAACTCGCTTCTTCACAACTCAGTAAGTACTTTCAGTGGCAGCTACACTCATTTGATTGCATGACTCCCCTCCCCCCCAGCAGCATTCTGCCTTGGTACCCACCACCTGCCACTAGTTAGAGACTTATGGCCTTTATGTGAGCACCTGTCTGTTGCCAGTTTAACCCCAACATCCCCAGATCCCCATGACTGCAGAGGTCCAAGGTCATGATCACACTGCTTGATGCAAAAAGAGGCAAGTGCCATAGAGTTGTTCTTGTGTTGTGTTCACTGTTTTGTTGAACTGTGTGTGTGGGAGGGGACATGGCTTGTGTTTTACTGTACAAGACTTTCTCTCTCTCTCTCTCTCTCTCTCTCTCTCTCTCTCTCTCTCTTTCTCTCTCTCTCTCTTTCTCTCTCTCTCCTGATGCTCTTAATGCAAATAGAGGTGACTTCCTCTGATCTGCAGATGTAGTGAAAGTGATCCCTATTCCTGGTGTTCGCTACCTTGTATCCAGTTCCTCAAATCTACCTTTTTTTGCTTCGCTGATACAGTGTTACTACTTGGATGTGGCTCTGATCGCCTAGCAAGCTTTTTTTAGCCCGAGAGATATAAGACACTAAGCTAGCACTAGCAATCAGTAAGAGAGCTCAGCTCCAGCAAACAAGGGCTGCCTATTCATTCCCAGCAACCTATTGCATTCTGCCTGCAACCCCCACCCTGACAAAAAAAACACTCACTCTTGGACTGATCTCAAGTGATCTATCTCCACAATAATCCTGGCATCTAACAACTGGACGATCGCCTCGCTTCCCAGCTGGATTAACTTCATTTTAACCCATTTATCTGTTGTTTTATCCCCAACCCTCTCCACTTGTCCCGTGTCTCCCCCTTGTTTCGAAGTGTAACCTTGTCTTGTGGTCATGGAGTGTATAATTTCATTTTTATCTAGGCTGGTGATAGCTGTCCAGGTTCTGTAGAGTGAATGTCAGGTTTGGATTTATGTCCTTGAAGGAATAAGAGAGACCCAACAGGATATCCCAAGTAAGTTTGATCCAGGAGGATGCAGGCTGTGTATTATCTCCTCGTCCTTCTCCTGCAGTCCACTCTGCACCTGGTAAGTCCCAAATACTTCACTTCTACCTACCTGATAATGTATGCAGTCAAATCCACGAGTGATATCCTGGGCTAATCAGCTCCATTACCACCCCTGCATGAGCCTGATTGCTTTATATACAAGTGTCTGAGTTTTTTTAAAAACATGTACAGATGTTTCTGCATATAATCTAGTTCTAAGATTCTAAGTATCTGCTGATTGTCCATCCATGAGGTTAGATATGGTCCTTCAAACAGGCTCAATGTTAATTGGGGACATAATCACTTATTATAATTTCAAGCAATGTCAGTTTATGGCAGCTCGTCTGCTGTGGACTCTAAATCCCACGACACTCAGTCAGCTTTCAGCTGTGGCAGACTGAGGGTTCGGGAATTGGAGTCCAGGACAGGTGAAATGCTACAAGCTGTCCATCCTATTTCATTCAAATCTATTTTCAAATCTATTTCACTCAACACCTCGGTGTGAAACTTTGCACGATTAACCATTTGAGTACCAAAGCAAAACATGCAATAGCTCAGAAACCCATGGGTTAAAAGTCTTACTAAGTCTTACTATTTCCCCAGTTAACTTTAAAGTAAATACGTTGCCCATAAGCCTTTAAAAGCAACAAACAATATATAAATATTTCTCACGTATAGTCAATTTCAGTAAAACCCTTTCCATGTATTGCATTGATTAACAAGAGTGCTTGCTACACAGTTGCAGAATGATTTATTGTAAGGCTCTCAACGTTCACATATCGATTGTACACTATTGTCTTTAATTATTTTTCTTTAATTTGACAAGCTAACGAGGATGCATGGGATGTGTGAAATAATATCTTGTCCCTCTGAGCTAGCATTAATTCAAACAGTAAATAGGAAAGTTGGATAGCAACATCAGCACCTGCTTTTTTATTTTTTTTATATATATATATATATATATAATTTAACTGCCTGATGGACTGCAAGAGTGATCTAGGCTGCAATTCAATATATATTTCAGATTGTGATTGTTTGTACTGGTGGAGTACTGGAGATATGCTGGGCAGGTGAGTCCCTTGCAGTTAAAGTCAGGTGCCATTCACATGAAGTCATTACTGACCTTTGTGTTCCTTCTGTCTATGATTGATAAGAGGCAAGCAATGTATTGGCGCTGTTACAAGCCTATTCCTGTAGTCTGAAATGAACTGACACAGGCTAAGTTCTGCCTTTGCTACTGAAGGAACCCAAGCAGCAATGTCTAGCCTAGTCTACAGGGACCTTGCCTCAACTTTGCCACCAGAGGGCGCTGCAAATCCCATCTAGTGGCACTTGGCACTGAGGGTTGCACACATGTGAAAGAGACTGGTGCTAAAGACACAGCTGTTTTCTCTTCAAATGTCCCCAGATCTGCTGATTAAGATTCATCAAATGGGAAAGACACTCGACAATCCCGGGTTCTTTATGCACTCTGATAGGATATCCGGAGTAGGATGTGAAAGCTTAAGAAAACATAAAAGAAAAAGAAAAAAATTGGAGAAACTTTTTTTTTTTTTGAGTCATAAAAATGATATAAAGTTTGCTCACTGTTCTGACAACCAAAGGGTTAATACCATATCCTCAATTCAATGTGAAGATGATACAAAGTGTGGCTAATGTTCTGGAAGTGAAGGGGTTAACAGCAGGTCCACATTGCACTGTGCAGGTGGAGTTAGACTAGTCATGTAAAGAAGAACTCTGTATAGTGACTGGGAGCACTGCACCCAGCCTGTTCTTCTAACTTGACTGAGAAATGTGCATTCTATGTCCCTTCCAATGAGCCACACAATATTTAACATTATTACGAAAACATGGGCAAATAATTGCCAGGGAGCAGAATGAACTCAATATGCTGCTGTAAAAATTTTAAATGTGTGTGTTGGCTCTTAAAGTGCTTTTTTTCCTCTCGTTATAACAACTGCGCTGGATTTATCCCGAATACAGTGCAGTCTAAACAACAAGCGCATTAATTCTGCTTTAATTGTAAACTGGGAGCATTTGAAAACCATTCAGTGTGCAAATTATGCTGATTCAATTACCGTTTAGTTACAGACTTCATTACCTGAATGCGTTTTCACAGGGGGTTGGCAATTGTGGCATAGGATACAATTTTCCAATTTCACTCAAGACATTCAGGGCATATAAATAAAATAAAAATAAAAACATCAAAACACACACACACACACACACACACACACACACACACACACACACACACACACACACACACACACACACACACACACACACACACACACACACACACACACACACACACACACACACACACACACACACACACACACACACACACACACACACACACACACACACACACCTCTTTATGGTTTTAGGCCTGTGTTTTAAAATACAGTAATTCTGAAAACATGCAACTGAATAATTACAATCTTTCTATTTGTAGTGTATGAGTTTTAAACTATAGCAGCATAATTAGCATATTTCTAATGAAATGAAAAAAAAACCAAAACCATTCAAGTCCGAGACAGAGACTGAGAAAATAAAAATAAGAATAACCAAAACATGGTATTTAAATATTTTGTTTCCTGTAATGAAAGTATTTTCGCTGTATATTCCCCAGTGTGTTGGCCCTTCTAATTAATTTAAAAGAATTTCTTATTTTATTTACTGTCAAAACTGTATCTGTCAGTTTGTAAGCTACACATATTTGCCATTTAAACAGCTATAATGTTACAATTATTTAAGGTATTGCACCTAGGAGGGAATTCAATTCTATGACGTGTACTTTCATTAAATTTAATTATAAAGATCTATTGTATATATGCTGTATATTATAATTCTTCTTTTTTTACATTTTTCTAACTAAAGCCTGTCTCTATTCTGCAATGAAACCTTTTGATTGACATTGAGCACATCCCACTAGGGTCTGTAACAATAAATAGACCATGTTTCTTGTAAAATTATAAAAAAAAATGTTTTATGCCATTAAATGAGCTCCCAATGAGGGTACGATTAACTTTAAATCCATGTTACCCTCAAATACATAAATGTTTAATAGAAACAGGATTCTCCTCTGAATAAATAGGCCAATAACTCTGATTTAATTAATCTGCACACATTTTTGATATTTAGTATCCTATCTTGTGATTTTGCCGTGATAGAAAAAGCTATTTCTTTACCAAGAGATAAAGAAAATATTTTCAGAAAATACTAATTTTTGTTCTCCCTGAAGTTGAGTTTTTTTTTTTTTTTTTTTTTTTAAACCAATTCCCTGCAGACAGAACTGGCCATAGTGATTACAGCATTAGAGTCACAGTGTGTTTTCATTACAGGAAAGGAATGTCCCATAGTGCATTCTGCGTGACAGGTGCAGATTCCTATAGTGATATCCATTAACAGGTACAACATCCCCACAGTGTATCTGCTTTACAGGTGTAACACTCCCATAATGCATCTCCACTGCAGACACAGCATTGTCACAGTGCACACCTTTCCTACAGCTCAAATCCTTTGCAGGTACAACATTCCAATATGGAATGTCCACAACAGAACAACTTTCTACAATGCTTCCAATCTACACTTAGAAATCCGTATGATGCTTAATGCTCAATTCATGTATGGTAGGAAATTAAACAAGGAATACACACACAGAAAAGCAGAAATTACAGGCTAAAATATAATTATTTTGAAAACACTATATAACAGTGTGTTATGTTAATTATTTCTCACATATGTTTTACAGCCAATATTTGGGAAAAGCTTTCAATCAATGATAGGGGAAAGGAAGGCA